TATATATATATATATATATATATATATATATATATATATATATAATAATAGTATATATATAATATATATATATATACATACATATATATATTTATTTATTTATTTATATATTATATTATGTGTGTATGTATACATATATATAAACCACAGAGCAATTATCAATATGACAAAATTTAAATTATTCTTTATAATTTGTAAATTTCTAAAAAAATTTGTATAAATAGTAATAGAAATGTATTCTTCATCACACCTATTATCGAAATTAACAAATACAGCTATAAATGCCGATTACTAAATACTATACACAATGTTTACTTCAAAGTTGTTACACGCGTTGCTATGACAATCAGCACGAAAGAATTGCCAATGGTTGCAATGGGCGCATTCAGTAGAAAAAGCGCTCAGTGAGCAATCAACGATTATTGGTTCTTGCTATTAGATCCCTAAATCTAGACCAATTACATTGACAAATTACTCAACTGTTGTGCAACTGTTGAGTCTACTGAATGCAGCCATTCAGTAGAAAAAGGGTGCGTTCAGCGAACTCAATAGTTGCACGACAGTTGAGCAATTCGTCAATGTAATTGGTCTAGATTTAGGGATCTAAGAGTAAGAACCAATAATCGCTGATTGCTCACTGAGCGCTTTTTCCACTGAATGCGTCCAAAGGTGCGTTCGGGGAGCTCGCTATTAGCGTTCAATGCTATCGTGTCATTTTATCCTTGTTGTATATCTAATGCCTCCTGCACACAGGACGCGGGAATGCTTGCCGCGCGGTGGAAGTTCGCGCGACAGCCAATCAATATGCTACTTTCCGTAATAACCTTTTAGCTCTTACGGAAAAACAATATATTGATTGGCTATCGCGCGGACTTCCGCCACGCAGCAAACATTACCGCGTCCTGTGTGCAGGAGCCATAAAGAGCAATAAAGATAGAAGAACGAGGTAGCGTTAGTAACGTGCTCCCCGAACGCACCCCAAAGCTGCTTTGCAACTATTGTAAAATTCATGAATCTGATTAGAGTATGCTCATAATTTTAGTTAAATCCAAGAATATGTACTAATCAGATTCACGAATTTTACAACAGTTGCAAAGCAACTTTTTCTACTGAACGCAGCCATTGGTTCTCTCTATCTGGGTGTTTATGGAAAAGCTCTCCAAGTTAGTTTCGAGTCAGCAATATACAGAGTTGGCAAAAAGTCCGGAAACGGTGAAATATATTAGGTTTGTTCTTTCGATCTGACCTAGGGCTGCACTGGAACTGTACTAGTTGAAGAAAGTTCAAGATAGTGCAGACCAGTGCAAAGATATATATGGGTCTGAAAAGAACGGGTAAGAGCAAGTTAGAGCAGTGTAAGATGGCGGACAACATGGCTGGATTAAATAAGATCAATAAATTGATCAATTATAGATCAATTTATGGTCATGTTTTCGCACTTATAGCATTTTATGTTTTGTTGAACAATCCTATTTCTTTTAAAAACTGTTTTGTGTTGGATACCCATACAACAAATCCCTCCGAAAAAACGTCCAAGAGCCTTCCCAGGATGTCTTTCGGATATTTTGTGCTGTTTGGATAACATTCTAAATACTTCTTTTATG